CAACCCAGAATTTCATATCCAGCCAAACTAAGCTTCATAAGTGAAGGAGAAATAAAATCCTTTATGAACAAGCAATTACTCAGAGATTTCATCACCACCAAGCCTGCCTTATAAGAGCTCCTGAAAGAAGCACTAAACATAGAAAGGAATGACCAGTACCAGCCACTCCAAAAACATACCAAATGGTAGAGAGCATAGACACAATGAAGAAACTGCATCAACTAATGGGCAAACAGCCAGCTAGCATCAAAATGGCAGGATCAAATTCACACATAATAATATTAACCCTAAATGTAAACGGGCTAAATGCTCCAATTAAAAGACACAGACTGGCAAATTGGATAAAAAGCCAAAACCAATCAGTGTGCTGTATCCAGGAAACCCATCTCACATGCAAGGATACACAAAGGCTCAAAATAAAGGGATGGAGGAAGATTTACCAAGCAAGTGGAGAGCAAAGAAAAGCAGAAGTTGCAGTTTTAGTCTCTGACAAAATAGACTTTAAACCAACAAAGATCAAAAGAGACAAAGAAGGACATTACATAATGGTAAAAAAAAATCAATGCAACAAGAAGAGCTAATGATCCTAAATGTATATGCACCCAATACAGGAGCACCCAGATACACAAAGCAAGTTCTTAATGACTTACAAAGAGACTTAGACTCCCACACAATAATAGTGGAAGACTTTGAGACCCCATTGTCAATACTAGACAGATCAACAAGACAGAAAATTAACAAGGATATCCAGGACTTGAACTCAGATCTGGACCAAGTAAACCTAATAGACATTTACAGAACTCTCCACCCCAAATCTATAGAATATACATTCTTCTCAGCACCCCATCACACCTACTCTAAAATTGATCACATAATTGGAAGTAAAGCACTGCTCAGCAAATGCAAAAGAATGGAAATCATAACTAACAGTCTCTCAGACCACAGTGCAATCAAGTTAGAACTCAGAATTCAGAAACTAACTCAGAACCGCACAGCTTCATGGAAACTGAACAACTCGCTCCTGAATGTTGACTGGATAAAAAATGAAATGAAGGCAGAAATAAAGATGTTCTTCAAAACCAGTGAGAACGAAGACACAACATACCAAATCTCTGGGACACATTTAAAGCAGTGTCTAGAGGAAAATATATAGCAATAAATGCCCACATGAGAAGCAAGAAAAGATCTAAAATTGACACCCTATCATCAAAATTGAAAGAGCTAGAAGAGCAAGATCTAAAAAATTCAAAACCTAGCAGAAGACAAGAAATAACAAAGATCAGAGCAGAACTGAAGGAGATACAGACACAAAAAAACCCTTCAAAAAATCAATAAATCTAGGAGCTGGTTTTTCAAAAAGATCAACAAAATAGACCACTAGCCAGTTTAAAAAAAAAAAGAAAAGAAAAGAGAAAAGAATCAAATAGATGCAATAAAAAACGATAAAGGGGAAATCACCACAGATTCCACAGAAATACAAACCATCATCAGAGATTATTACAAACAACTCCATGCACATAAACTAGTAAACCTGGAAGAAATGGATAAATTCCTGGACACTTGCATCCTCCCAAGCCTAAACCAGGAGGAAGCCGAAAACCTGAACAGACCAATAACAAGGGCAGAAGTTGAGGCAGCAATTAAAAGCCTACCACCCAAAAAAAGCCCAGATCAAGATGGGTTCATGGCTGAATTCTACCAGACATACAAAGAGGAACAGGTACCATTCCTTCTGAAACTATTCCAAATAATCCAAAAAGAGGGAATCCTTCCCTAATCATTTTATGAGACCAACATCATCCTGATACCAAAACCCAGCAGAGACTCAACAAGAAAAGCAAACTTCAGGCCAATATCCATGATGAACATAGATGCAAAATTCTTCAATAAAATACTGGCAAGCCGATTGCAACAGCACATCGAAAAGCTTATCCACCATGATCAAATAGGCTTCATCCCGGGGATGCAAGGCTGGTTCTACATACGCAAGTCTATAAACGTAATTCACCACATAAACAGAACCAAAGGAAAAAAACATATGATTATCTCAATTGAGCAGAGAAGGCCAAAACCCTCAATAAACTAGGTATTGATGAAAGGTATCTCGAAGTAATAAAAGTTATTTACGACAAACCAACAGCCAATATCATACTGAACAGGCAAAAACTGGAAGCATTCCCTTTGAAATCTGGCACTAGGCAAGGATGCCCTCTCTCACCACTCCTATTCAATAGAATATTGGAAGTTCTAGCCAGAGCAATCAGGCAAGAAGAAGAAATAAAGGGTGTTCAATTAGGAAAGGAGGAAGTAAAATTATCTCTATTCGCAGATGACATGATTGTATATTTAGAAGACCCCATCGTCTGTCGGGGAAATAGGGGAGGGACCTGGCTGGAGTGTAGTGGCAAATGGTAGCTCACCCCAGCCTCAACCTCCTGGGCTCAAGTGATCCTCACTCCTCAGCCTTCCAAATTGCAGAGACGGAAGGTGTCCACCACTGTGTCTGGCCTTGAGTTGGTTTTCAAACATATTCAAGGTCTAACTGGAAGGAAAAAGTCAATAAATGCATAAGACTTGCGCACAAGGATAAACTTCTGCTTCTAAACAAACAATTCAAGGTCTTTTTGGTCTTGCATTTCCAGGTACTTTCCAAACTTACTGTATGAAACACCAAAAGAGGCCGAGTGCAGTGAGTGGCTCATGCCTGTAACCTTAGCACTTTGGGAGGCTGAGGCGGGCGGATCACCAAGTCGGGAGTTTGAGACCAGCCTGACCAACATGGTAAAATCCTGGCTCCACTAAAAATACAAAACATTAGCCAGGCGTGGTGGAGCGTGCCTCTAATCCCAGCTACTCAGGAGGCTGAGGAAGGAGAATCGCTTGAACCTGTAGGGCTGCTGGCCCTTATGCTGTGCTGAGGTGCAGGATCCAAGAAATAAAGAGACAGGGCACAGTACAAGGAAAACGCAGCCAGGCTCAGGGGCCACGCCACCTAGGAACAGAGTCAGGCGAGGCCCGGAATGTCCAGAAGCATCGGTATTTATTGTGTATAGGTTAAGGGGCAGGGCAGTGAGTAAAGTCATCTTTAAGGATAGTGATAGGGTCATGAGCAATAAAACAAGGGGTCCACCCCCATTAGGTCACCTAGGCTGGGAGGTGGACCTTGCTCAGCAAGGGGCCCGTTCCCATTAGGTCATCAAGGCAAGGGCCGTGTGCAGTAAGGGGTCCACCCCCCATTAGGTCACCGAGGCATGGAGGCGGGCTGTGCGCAGTGAAGTGGATGCAGTGTGCAATACCTCTATCTATGGGCAAGCTACTAAGATTTATAGGATGCTTTAAGTCACACAGCAGTGACAGAGCTGTCAAGGTTACCACCACCTTCTGGCAGTAACCCTTCCAGTGAGTTCTATGGGAAGATGCTTTTCAAGCAGCACAGTAGCAAGAGCTGATAGAGTTCACAGTCACCAAGGTGGATTACCAGTCTGAGGGCGGCCTTCCACAAGAACTGGAACAAGGTCCTACAACTCCTTTATCAGGAGGAGAGGCTCTCACCCCCAGGCCTGCCATACAGCAGGTGTCTTTATGATACTGAAGGCTGCCACCTGGGCCATGGATTCCTGTCCTGGTATAACTGTTTTTCCCTTAAATCATGCTCTGCACTGTGTCTGCTCTAGGCATTCCTCCGATTACAAGCTGCTTACTCTTTAATTCATGCTCTGTACTATACATACTCTAGGCATTCCTCCGATTATAAACTAAAATATAGTTACATATATATACATATATATATGGAAATAACTTAGTAACACTATAAACTGAGATATTCTCCAGGCCTTAATTGTGCCAGGATTCTGCTTGGCGGTCCTTCCTCGGTACCTATATAGGGGGTTACCCACAGAACCCGGGAGGGGGAGGGTGCAGTGAAGCAAGATCTGCACTCCAGCCTGGGAGACAGAGCGAGGCTCTGTCTCAAAATAAAAAACATAATAATAGAACACTTAAAAAATCCCACAAACGCACACAAAAAACTACGAACTCCACAAGGGAAGAGGCTGAACTGTGCCCACGCCAGGACTTGGGGTCTTCATTGATTTCCTAGCCGTATTTTGACCAGGTCTGTAAGGACACCACCCCCGACCCGGGATCTCCCCGTCCTGGGGTGCCCGGGGTCATGGAGGTCAACCGCGGTCAGGCTGCTCCAGGCTTTCCCTGAGGGAGCCACCCGTAGGGCTCATCTGGGCGGATGTGGTCCATCCCCAGACCCCCACCCCCGCCTCAGCCCGCTAGACCCAGACAGGTCCCCTACGGGTCTGGGTTCCAGAGGCGCCCTCCTCCCCGGCGCCAGGAACGCGCTGCGCCCCACTGAGCCACGACCCCAGCCTGACCCGCTGCGCCTGCGCCAGGGCGGGAGAAGCGGGGTCAGCGGCGGGTCACCGTTCCCTCTGCTCCACGGCAGGGCGGGGGTCGCGGCGCCCTCCCCCACCCACCCGCGGGGCTCCAGGCCTTTCAGACCCCCGCACTGCGGCCCCGAGGACCCCCGGGGTCGTCCCGGATGCCCCAGACTCCTCGACCCGCAGATGCCACAGACACCCGAGCCCCGGCGTAGCCCCCAGCTCCCCCCAGACTCCGCGGGCGGCTGAGGGGCGCAGGGCCCCGGGCCGGCTCGTGGGCGGAGCCTCGCGGGGATTGGCCGCGGCCTGGATACTTTGTGGCGCCCGCGCCTTCCGCGCTGGCCTCCAGTGCGCGCCAGGTACGTGCGCCGGCGCAGAAGCGGGGCCCGGAGGGTGAGGGGCGCGCAGGCGGGGGCGTCCCGGGGGGGTGAGGAGTGCGGGGGCGAGGGTCCCAGAGAGCGAGTCGGGGGCGTGCCAGTGGGTAATCGGGGGTCCTGGAGGGTGAGGAGTGCGGTGGCCGGGGCAGGGTTGAGGGTGGAGCCCCAGGCAGGAGTCCCGGCCTCTGCAGGGAGCGGCGCGCCAGCAAGGTAGGGGATGGTTGCCCACGAGTGGGGGTCATGCCACAGGCGGGAAGCCCAGCAGCGCCCCCTCCCGCGACCTTTCCTTCCATTCCAGGCGGAGCCAAGTGCCCCTCAGGGCACCGGGCGGACAAGCCAAGGTCCCTCCCGGAACCCTTTTGCTTCCAGAAATGGCAGGAACCGCACCCCTCTCAGAGCCGGTGGGGCTCGGCGCTGCAGGAAACCCAGGCCTGGGAGCCTCCTCTTCCCTCCTCCGAGGCCCGGGCAGCCTCCGTTCCCTCAAGGGAGTCAGGGTCCAGGGCCTCCTGCCCGCTGTGGTGCTGCAAATGCGGAGCCCTGAGTAGGACCCGAGTGAGATGGCGCTAGAGCCGGGGGAAGGTGGCGTCGACTAGGTCGCGTCCCCTTGGCGCGGGAGGCGATGCGGGCGGACAGAACCCGTCGCCTGGGGGCGCACAGCCTAGCTGGTTCTCTGCTGCTCTGAAGATGCACAGACCTTTCAAAGGAAAGCATTGGCGGCAGCACCTACTACCATATCTCCACTTACGTTAATAAAAATGTGTTCCGCGGGAGTAAGATGGGTTGGGAAAGATGGTTTTTGTTGGGAAAAGCAGTCACTGCCAGCTCCCTAAACGTCCTTAGGCGGGGCCCCGTTAGGACAAGTATAGGTCCCTCCTATGTGGATGCAGGACCAAACGTGCGGTTGCGAAGTTTGGATTAAGTATTGGCATAAGCACGTTCTGCTGTTAAAACAAGTGCATGTGGGCCGGGCGTGGGGGTTCACGCCTGTAATCCCAGCACTTTGGGAGACCAAGGCAGGCGGATCACCAGGTCAGGAGTTCAAAACCAGCCTGACCAACATGATGAAACCCCGTCTCTACTAAAACTATAAAAATTAGCTGGACGTGGTGGCACACGCCTGCAATCCCAGCTACTAAGAGAATCGCTTGAGCCCGGGAGGTGGAAGCTGCAGTGAGCCGAGATCATGCCACTGCACTCCAGCCTGGGTGACAGAGCAAGACTCCATCTCAAAAAAAAAAAAAAAAAAGTGCATGTATGTGGATTCCGATGGAAGGCCTTGGCATCCACTGGTGACCACTGCACATAAGGTCCCTACCCCAGTGAGCCCAGAGAAGGAGTGAGATGAAATATAATCACAAAGTGTGTGGCAGGGTGGACGAAAGGAAGGATAAGCAGAGCTGAGAGGAACAGTGTGGGCTGTGGACCAGGGGCCAGGTGGAAGGTTCAGAGAAGTGGAGGAGCTGTTGCAAGTAGTACCCAGCCCAGTGCTTGGTGCCCAGCTGTGTTTGTTAAAGACTAAAGTATTTGGGGGATTAGAAGGAAATTCTAGAGGGTGTCTGCCATGGTGCTGCCCTCTCAGGATGCGTGAGGTCTTACTCCGACTCCCAAGTTTCCATGGCACGACAATCGTGGCAACACCTGCTTCGCAGAGTGGGCTGAATGATTGATTGCCAGAAAGGGTGTGGTCAGTGTTGCCCATTCCTGTGACTGTTCTCTGTGTTGGCAGAGTGGCCACAACCCAGCACAGGATGCAGAGCTTCCTGACTCTGCTGAAGGAGCATGAGGACACCTGCCCACCCCCGGCAGAGCTGGTGACCCTTGCGAGCAGGCTGTGCCGTCACTTTCAGCATGACCTTGCCCAGGTGAAGCCTTTGGTTTCAGCCATTCTGGACAGCCAGCTCCGCCTGCACCTCCTGGACAATGCAGATGTTGCCCTGGTGTGTGCCCGAGTCCTGGACCAGCAGGAGCAGCAGCAGGCGGCTTGCCAGCTCCTGGAGGTAGGTCTGGGCTTCATGGTGGGGTGCAGAGAGAGGTGGCAACTTCTCCAGGCAGCCTCCACCATCCCCAGCACTGCAGTAGTACCTGGGAGTTAGTAGGAACCCGCTGACCGGAGGCCCACACCCCAGTGCCTTTGAAAAACCTGGGAGGCGCGTTTTATATAAGCTTAGTCCACTGTCATTACCAAGCTCTCACAAGTTTGGTAATATGAGTTTAAACTACTCATTCATCGAATCCCTGTTGAGTGGTGATCCGTGACAGGCGTGATGCCAACAGAGTGAATAAGTGCGAGCCTGGTTTTGGAGAGTCGACGTCTCAGTCGGCAGGGCATTCAGCACCCCTCTCAGTCTCTGGCTGCAAGTCTGCAATGGAGACCTCTGAAAACCAAAAGCGTCTTGGTCACTCACCTCCTGGTACCTTCAACCTCAACACGTTAGGCGTTGCACCTGACCTGTGCTGATCTGAAGCTGTTTAGAGCATTTGTTGGTCCAACTAATGTGACGACTGTACATTTTGCTGCCTAAATAAGGGTGTGCTTGGTGACAGGGTGCTGTCCCAGGTGGTCCTGAATGGTGCGTATCATGTGCTGGATGCCTATGTTACTTGCTGAAATCTGAAATATTCTGAATTGCAGAAAACATATGGCCCAAAGGTTTCCAAAAAGGAATGTGAAGGCCTGTTTTTTCCTTTCTTTGGCCCTGTAATCCAGTCTGTGCATAATTCACTGTGAGTTCCCCTTCAAGATATTCAATTCCTTCCAGCCCCAACAGAGCTAGTGTAGTGTCCTCCTGCCCCTGTGCCTGTGCACACAGCAGCCAGAAGTCGTTTTTTACAATGCAAATGGCATCATAGTGTGCCCTGAGCAGTGGCTCCCAGAGCCAGGTTCTGAGCCTGCTGCTTTCCTGTCACCTCTGGCTCCCCCCAGCCTCCTCTGCAGTGGCCACGCCAGTCTCCTTGCCATTCCAACTCCTGAGATACTTCTCTGTCCCAAGGCCTTTGCAGGTGTCATTCCCTCTGCTGGAGGCTGGCACCTGGCTCTCTGGCTGGTACCTTCCTACACTTCTGGTTTCTACTTTAAATGTCAGACCATGGAGGTGATGCCCCCTTCACTCTCCAGTCTTGCCCCCATTGCCCCTTCTCTGGCCCTTCCTCTGTAACTAGAAGGTTATATGTTTGTTGATGTGCCTTCCATCTGCCTCCCTCACTGCACTGACGGTGCACAGAGGCAGGGCCACCAGAGTCTTTCTCCCTGCAAGATTGGCTGACACACTGCATGACACCGAGAACCTGGCAGGGCTCGAGGGCTTTCAAATCTGTCAAAACGAATGAAGTAAACAAATGAGGGCATGCAGTTAGAGTTGTAACGACTGCCGTGAAGGCACTCACTGGCATCAGTGATGAAAACCCCCGGAGAGGAATTAGCTCAGTCAGGGTGACCCACGTGTATGTCTGAGGAGCCATATTGCCCTTTGCGCCTAATGTTTTCTGCAATTCAGAAATTTTCACATTTCAGCAAGTGACACAGGCATCCAGCACATGACGTGCACCACCTGGGCTGACCTGGGAGACACAAAGGGACCACCACACCAAGAATGGGCAGCAACCCCAGCCTGTGCAGTGTGTTCCTGCCCAGCCCTGCCCCCATGTCATGCAGGTTCCCTGAGGCCACATGCTGGGAGGAGACGGGGGCACAGAGGGATCAGCTCTGAGGGGTCATTGCCCAGCAAGACTGGGCCTCTCTGATGCCTCAGAGAGAAAGCTGAATGATTCTCGGCACCTCCCTTGCCAGGATGGTCCAAGCAACACTGTAGTTTAAGGCCTGTGTGGGGCCACAGGGACCACTCCTGTGGCAGATGATGGGAATTAAGGGAATGGTGGGAGCCACACAGGAATCACAGCAGAGACCAGCACCAGGCATCCTCTGTTAAGCAGACGGGTGAACTGGACAGGGACCCCTTCATTCCCCTCACCTTAGAATGTGCTGAGGGGCCAGCACTGCTGCTGGGAGACAAAGGTCTTTCACGTAAGATGTGAATCAGACATCAGACCCTCAGATCACACCATGTGATTATGACCCCGGCTCCACTTGTCATTTGCTGTTGGCCAGAAGAGAATCACTGGACTTTCTCTTGTCACATGTGCCTTACCATTGTGTTTTGAGGAGGGTTGAAGGTTTAAAGGCAGCCCATTCAAGGCTGATGTGAATGCATCTGCCCAAGGTCTGAGCCTGCTAGGAATGGAGTGAGGGCCATCTGACTCAAGGCCTGCATTGTGTGGCCACGCTGGCACTTTGCAAAATCAGTGGGCTTGAACCCAGAGCCCTGCTCATCCCATCACTGCCTTTCCCATTGCTGAGTTGGTTTGGGATGGTAGACACGGGTCCAAACAGTGCTCCAGGGTGGGTGGCCAGGGCTCAGCATGCTCTTCTTGGCAGGGGTGCCAGGTGCCAGGAGGCAGCCAGGAGCTGGTGCAGCTCTGGAACAACATCCACTACCGTCTGGTCATGAGGAGGCTGGGCGTGGCTGCACTCACCCCCGTGCAGAAGTTCCGCTGCAGAAAGAGGTAACCCACGAGGATTTACTCGTGCATATTTCATGGTGATCCCAAGGGATTAGATGTACAATGCAAATCCCAGAGGGACTGAAGCAAAGTAGGAGGAGACATGGGTAGGAAATGTCTGCCTGAACAGTAAGTCACAGTGTAGTCAGCATAAGATGGCTTCAGTGTGTCACACTAGTGCTGGATGCTGATCACTGAGCTACACTCTCCACCAGCCCTTTCACTCAGCGGATGGCTGGAAATGGATGGCTGACCGCAGTGTGTCTGAGGGTAAGGTCAGGAGGTTGGCATCCTGATCATCCCTGCCCCTAGCACCCACCCAGGGACCGGCCAGAAAGGGGGCCCTCGAACCAGGGACAGTGGACATGGAGGGTAGGTGGCCACTGAGGGGCCGCAAGGCCTTTCAAAGAGGTAGGGGTGAGAATGTTGCCAGTGTTAGCATGAGTTACATGTCAGGGGCTGAGAATAGTGCCGGGCACATGATAGACATTAAATAAGTGGCAGTCCTGGTCATTGCCACCATTCTCAGCACTGAATAAATGTTAGTGCTAGTAATTGTTGTTATCACCATCATCACCACTTATGAGTGAGGAAGCTGAGGCACAGAAAGGTTAATCTGAGGCCCCACGTGAGAGTTGCAAAGCCAGGACCGTAGCCCAGACAGTGAGGTATTGGAGCCTTTGTTCTTTTAAAAGAATTGAGACAAGGTCTCGCTCTGTTGCCCAGACTAGCATGCAGTGGCACAGTCATGATTCACTACAGCCTCAATGTCCCAGGCTCAAGTGATCCTCCCACACCTCAGCCCCCAAGTACATCTGACCACCATGCCTGGCTAATTTTTAATTTTTGTGAAGACAGGGTCTTGCTGTATTTCCCAGGCTGGTCTCAAACTCCTGGGAGCCTTTTCTCTTCATCCCAGGTGCTCTCCACTGCTCACAGAAGGGCTGTAGATCTTGCTGTGAACTCCTGAAAGCCCAAGTCATGAAGGATTCCTGAGCCACAGGGCAGGGCCTGGTCACTAACAATACTGGGCGCTGGAGGAAGAAGACATGCGTACCTTTTTGGCCCAGAGAATTTTTTTGCATGGTAGCCATCAAATAAAGTGATGGAGTGAGGCAAGTTGTCAGAAGCCCAGCAGTAATGTGGACAGTGGCCAACAGACAAAGAAATAAAGTAGATCACATAATTCAGAGAGTGAGAAGTGCTATGAAGAGAATATACTCAGAAGAGGCTGTGAGCGGTTGGCTGCTTTAGATGGGGTGGTCAGTGCAGGCTGCTCCAAGTCTTGGAGGAGAGTCTTGAGTGTGGTGATCGTGCCAGCCATGTGAGCAGAAGTTTCCAGGAAGGGACAACACATTCAAAGACTTGTGGTCAGAGGAGCCTGGTATTCAGGGGCATATAGTAAATATTTTGGGGTTTATGTGTTAACAGCCTTTGAACAATGTAAATCAGACCAGGAGTGGTGGCTCACGTCTGCAATCCCAGCACTTTGGGAGGCCAAGGCAGGCGAATCACGAGGTCAGGAGTTCGAGACCAGCCTGACCAACATTGTGAAACCCCATCTCTACTAAAAATACAAAAATTAGCTGGGTGTGGTGGTGCACACCTGTAATCCCAGCTACTCGGGAGGCTGAGGAAGGAGAATCGCTTGAACCCAGGAGGCGAGGGTTGCAGTGAGCTGAGATTGCGCCATTGCACTCCAGCCTGGGCAACAGAGTGAGACTCCATCTCAAAAAAAAAAAAAAAAAGAAAGAAAAATGTAAAACCAATTCTTAGACAGTAGCCAGAGAAGCAGGCAGTGGAATGGGATTCACCAACCCTGCCTTAGAGGCTGATGAGCAACAGGACACTGGGCCTGCAGCCATGGTAGCTGCTGGATTGGGTTATGACCCCTGGCTGATGGTCCAGGGGTTTCAGGAAGGGGTGGCATCTGAGTCACAGTAGATGCAGATACAGGGGTCAGGAGTAGATGCTGGGGTTTCTAGGAGGTTCCAGTCCTGGCTCAGGGCTGGGACAGTGGCTGGGGAAAGGAAACAGGATTGGGTCAAGGTACATTTTGGAGGTGGAGCTGGGGGGTTACTGGACACGTTGCAGGAGGTAAAGAGGGGACTAATGCAGACTCCAGGGCTCTTGGCCTGTGTGAGAAACACCAGGAGCATGAGGGTTCCTTCACTGAGGTGCACAGGGGTCGGGGAACGTTTAGAGAGGGAGGATGGAGTTCTTCTGGAATTCATGATGTGTGAGATGCATTTCAGACGTCCCAGTAGGCATTCGGATGACACGCCTTCTACAGACGAGTGATGCTGTTGCATGTATCACCTTTTTCTTATGAAATGTTCAAATCTGCTCAGCACTAGAGAGGAGCATGACCAGTGGGAACACCCCTGGTGTCCAGCTCCAGCACTGGCCAGCCACACATCCCTTTGTCATCTCTGTGAGTGACACTGAAACCCTGGGAAGGCACAGAGAAAGGAGGGGTCCTCTGTGTTCAGGGAACAGACCTCTGGGACTTTGTAACGCAGAGGGGGATGAGGAAGAATCAGCTGAGACGTGGCCAGTGAGAGGAAGAGGAAATCCAGTGGTGCGCAGAATTCAGAAGCCAGTGCAGCCAAGGAGGTGCCAGTTAAAAGGAGAGTTAAGAAACTAACTGGATTTTGTGAGCTGAGGAGCAGTGCTTTTAGTGGCAAGGTGCCAGGGTCCAGGTGTGTCACAGAGACAAGGAGACAGTGGCATCCCCCAGGAGGAGGCACAGGGAAGGAAGTGTGACCTTCTGCAGAAGGCTAGGCCTGGAGAAGGGAACAGATTTGGAGGGTCCTGTATGTTACTACCTCCTCCCTATCCTCACCCAGGAACCTCCTGCCCCCCTCCCTCTGCCCAGGAACCCCCCGCCCCCCTCCCTCTGCCCAGAGGGGCTGAAGACCCGGAACTTCCCCAGAGAGGTTCGAGAGAAGCTGCACAATTTCGCTGTGGGGGTGAGCACCAACCCCAGCAAGGCTGAGAGGGTAAGAATAGAAGACACCCAGGACCCAGGGGTTCCCCCTGGTTCCTCCCCTCCACAAGGGGATATCCCTACCCCAGGCTCCTCAGTGGCCCTGTCCTCCAGGGTGCTGGTGGTTTCGGCCTCTCCTCTGGATGTCTGTGTCCAGAGTTCTTAGTAAGATGGGGGACCAGCTGGTACCCTGTTGATTGGCAGCCCCTGCAGACAGTCCTGTCTGCCACGTGAAGGGTTTCATTTTCTCACATGGAGTCATAACATCCATGTGTGTGACCCCACAGCTGCGCACTCAGCACTCACTGTGTGCCAGGCACTGAGACAAGGGGTTGAGGCATCTGCCAACCAACATGGTCTCCCACTGTGCAGTGGGTTTGTGCCAGGCACAGGTGGTGTCAGTCTGCAGGCCTTGCACCTCTGGGGCTCAGGTGACCCTGGGCATGCTGTCTGGGTGGGCCTAGCAAGGACCCCACTCGGGGATATGCACATGTGGCTGTACAGACACCTTGGCCTGGACCTCACTGCCTAGGGAATGGGGATCAGCCCAAGGAGGCAAGGTCCGCATGTTCTGGTCATGCTCACTGCTCTCTGCTGTCCTTGGAGAGATTAGGCTGGGCCCTCACCCTCTTTCTTGGTGGAAATGAGCTATCAGAGCCACTTCTCCATACCCCTGTCTTCAGGGAATGGAAGCAGGGCTAGAAGTTTTATTGTTTGGGGGCAGGAGAACTTGGCTTTGGAGACGAGCTTGACCCCTGAGCAGGTGTACAACTGGTTTGCCAATTACCGGCGCCGCCAAAGAGCCCTTCCCACGCACATGGAGCCGGCCGGGCAGGCCACAGCTGAAGACCCTGGTACAAGGGAGTGGGGTCCCGACCGCCTGCAGCCCTCAGGCAAGCCCCATGTTGACTCTGGGTTTGTGGACAGGCCTCAGTGGTCAGGTGAGTGGCCCAATGGCCCCAGTTTCTTTGTGGTTGGGGAGCTGATTTCTGACAAGGGCCAGGCCTGGGTAGTCATGCTGGTTACAGGGGTAGCCCTCCCCCAGTCAGTAGGTTCCAGGTGTCACTCTGTGGGAGTAAGATCACAGAGTTTGAGGGTCTGAGGCTCAAGACTGGTACAGGCCGGGCTGTGGCTGCCCCGCTGCATTTCAAGGTCACTGTGTGGCAGGGCCAGGAGCTGGGCTGGAGAGGAGGGGCATTGTGTGGCCACAGAAGGAATTGGTGAGTCAGTTTGAGAAGTGAATCAAGCACTAGGATTTGGGGTGTCCTGGGTTGGCAATTATGGATTGTTGATTCACACCAGAGACAGGCCAGGAAGCCAAAATACTGGGATGGCCCCATGGCGACAGCCTTTTCCAACCAGCTGGGCTGCTCGTACCTGCTGAGGAGGCTCGGACCTGCAGCCTCACTAAGCCTCTTCTCCCATCTCATCACCTTCAGAGAAACGTGAGGAAAAGGGACCTCCACAGTATTTTCCAGAGACCACTCAAGGACCATGGGAACCACTGGCCTTAGCCCCGGACTTGCCTGCAGATGAGACAGTCTCAAGGCCACTGGCTTCCAGGTACTGTCATCTCCACGGCCATGGAAACACCTCACCTATTCGGTTCCCTTTCCTCCTCGGGTGGAGACTAGGACATGGAGTGGGCACAGGGATGACAGGACCCCCGCAATGGGATCAAGTAGGCCCCAGGGAGAGGAAAGCCACCAGCAGGAGCCCACTTCAGGGACGAGGGTGGGGGGCAGTTTCTTCTGACCCCACCTGTGCTCCTGCAGCCTGACTCCTAACCTGAGTTCATGTCTGTCTTGGAGAATGGGGGACAGACTTAGAAGGAAGCACCTGCAGACCTGCCCCTAAAGACACACCTAGCTATCCCCATGCTTTGTTTCTAGTACTTTGTCTGTTTTGCTTTTCGTTGAGTTAATACTAGCCGGTATATCTTGAGTTCCCACTGCACACCAGTACTGTTTGAGCTCTGTCTGTGCACCCTATGCTCCCTGCTACCCTGGCCCGAGGGAGCCTCTGCCCACCAAGAGACAGTGTTCTCCATGTCCCCCAGGTCTCTGCCAGGTGGCGAGATGTACCAGGAGGGGCCTGGCCATGATCCTGCTACCCTCCCCCTCTTCTGCCCTGGCCCTGGCCTCTGCCCTCTGGCTGCTGGCAGTGACATACTGGATCCAACCGTGGCTGCCCCTGAATCTTGGCTGATGTCTCTTGCACTGGCGTCCTCCAAGGAAGTTTCCTTCCAGACTGGGCAGCTGGTCCACAGTCATGGGCTGGACTTCGTAATGGGCCCTGCAGACACCGCGGTGGCCGTGTCCATTGCCACTCTTGGAGATCCCAGCCCTACAGGTGGGTCCACTTCAGACAGACCATGAGTTTCAGCAGCAGACATTGTGACTACTCGGGTCCTGATTGAGGGAATAGAAGTGTGGGTAAGGCCACGCTGCTTGAACCCATGATGTTTTATTAGGCCTGGAGTCAATGTAGCCAGAACAAAGACTCTTCCCACAAACATCCCAGATTGTTTCTTATCCATCTCAGTGTGTGTGTGTGTGTGTGTGTGTGTGTGTGTGTGTGTATGCATATCACTGAAGAGGAAAGAGTTAAGTTGAAAGCAAAGAGCTGCCACCCTGAGCTCTCCACTGCAGTCCACCTGATTTATCTGTTAACACCTGGTGCAGCAGAGGAGGCTGAGCTCCGTAGACTCCCCAGCTATCCACCCGCCTTAGCCCGTAGTAGAGATGTCATGATTTTAGTTTCTTTCTAGGTTATGATTGAAGCTGTAAAATCATTTAAAGAATGTGTATTTAGATGTATGTTTTGTCCATCCATTACCCCAGAATCGTGAGACTTCTCAGTTTGTAAGGCGGAAATTGGCACTATGAATTTACCTATATTTTTTCCTTTTTTTTTTTTTTTTTTTCTTGAGACGGAGTCTTGCTCTGTCACCCAGGCTGCTAGAGTGTAGTGGCAGGATCTCAGGGCTCACTGCAACCTCTGCCTCCTGGGTTCAAGTGATTCTCCTGCCTCAGCCTCCCGAGTAGCTGGGACTACTGGCACCTGCCACCACACCCAGCATTTTTTTATTTTTAGTAGAAATGGGGTTTCACTATGTTGGCCAGCCTGGTCTTGAACTCCTGACCTCACGTGATCCACTCGCCTCAGCCTCCCAGAGTGGTGGGATTACAGGTGTAAACCACCATGCCCAGCCAAATTAACCTATATTTAAAATTCTCTGGGTGTACACATCTTTTCTCTTCAGCTTTTTTCCTTCTTGCAGCTCCTCCATGCCTTTCCTTTTTCTTTTTTCCTTCTCACAGCTCCTCCACGCCTTTCCTTTTTCTTTTTTCCTTCCTGCAGCTCCTCCATGCCTTTCCTTTCTCTTTTTCCTTCTCACAGCTTCTCCATGCCTTTCCTTTTTCTTTTTCCTTCTCGCAGCTCCTCCACGCCTTTCCTTTTTCTTTTTCCTTCTCGCAGCTTCTCCACGCCTTTCCTTTTTCTTTTTCCTTCTCACAGCTCCTCCACGCCTTTCCTTTTTCTTTTTCCTTCCTGCAGCTTCTCCATGCCTTTCCTTTTTCTTTTTCCTTCTCGCAGCTCCTCCACGCCTTTCCTTTTTCTTTTTTCCTTCTCGCAGCTCCTCCACGCCTTTCCTTTTTCTTTTTTCCTTCTCACAGCTCCTCCACGCCTTTCCTTTTTCTTTTTTCCTTCCTTCAGCTCCTCCACGCCTTTCCTTTTCTTTTTCCTTCTCACAGCTCCTCCACGCCTTTCCTTTTTCTTTTTCCTTCCTGCAGCTCCTCCATGCCTTTCCTTTCTCTTTTTCCTTCTTGCAGCTCCTCCACGCCTTTCCTTTCTCTTTTTCCTTCCTGCAGCTCCTCCATGCCTTTCCTTTCTCTTTTTCCTTCTTGCTGCTCCTCCATGCCTTTCCTTTTTCTTTTTCTGTCTTGCAGCTTCTCCATGCCTTTCCTTTTTCTTTTTCCTTCCTGCAGCTCCTCCACGCCTTCCCTTTTTCTTTTTCCTTCTCGCAGCTCCTCCACGCCTTTCCTTTTTCTTTTTCCTTCCTGCAGCTCCTCCACGCCTTTCCTTTTTCTTTTTCCTTCTCACAGCTCCTCCACGCCTTTCCTTTTTCTTTTTCCTTCTCGCAGCTCCTCCACACCTTTCCTTTTTCTTTTTCCTTCTCACAGCTCCTCCACGCCTTTCCTTTTTCTTTTTCCTTCTCGCAGCTCCTCCATGCCTTTCCTTTCTCTTTTTCCTTCCTGCAGCTCCTCCATGCCTTTCCTTTCTCTTTTTCCTTCCTGCAGCTCCTCCATGCCTTTCCTTTCTCTTTTTCCTTCTTGCTCCTCCTCCATGCCTTTCCTTTTTCTTTTTGCGTTGTCTGCTTTTATCACATACTTAACATCTTCCAGCATTTGAAGCATCTCGTCTGAAAAATTGCCGCTGGGGGCCCTCCTTCTTCCCTTTTCCATCCAAGTGATGCTTCCTAGACCTGGAGTGAAGCCGTTGTCCCCAGTGCTCCCATGCTGCTTCTCTGGATTTGCTCCAGGGTGTCCTGAGTTTCAGGTCTGCTTCTTTCTTTATTTGACTCCTTTGTTTTGTTAGCCAACATCTTCAGTCAACTTTGCAAGAAAGGGCACCTGCAGGATAAATTACCTGAGTCCTCGTTTGTTCTAAAAACATCTTTGATCTGTCTTCACATTCGGTTAACAGTTTTGCAAGGACAGAATTCTGAGTTGAAAATACTTTTTTCCCCCTCAGAAATTTGAAGACATTTTATCTTTTTTTTTTTTTTTTTTGTAGCATTTAGTGTTGTCAGGTGTCCCAGTGTGTATATTCTCTTTAAGGTAACATACTTTTTCTTTCTTGGAGCTTTTAGATTCTTTTTTTTTCTTTCCTTTTTCTTTTTTTTTTGGTCTTGATGTTCTGAAATTCCACACTGAGAGTCCGAGGTGTGGGTCTTTTGGCTTCATCTTGCTGTTAAGACTTTCATCTTAAAGAATAAAGTCTCCTGTAAGCTCTGCACATTTTTTTTTATCCTTTGATAGTATCTTTGGTAAGTTCCTGCTTCTTTGTTTTCAGCCCTCTCTTTAGAACACAAATGTTATTTGGATGTTGGAACTCTGGGACTAGTCACCCAGAGAACTTACCTTTTATCTTGTTTTTTTTTTAATTGTATGTGCATTTTTAGTAATTTTTTTTTTTTTTTTTGACAGAGTTTCGCTCTTGTTACCCAGGCTGGAGTGCAATGGCGCAATCTCGGCTCACCCTAACCTCCACCTCCTGGGTTCAGGCAATTCTCCTGCCTCAGCCTCCCAAGTAGCTGGGATTACAGGCACGTGCCACCATGCCCAGCTGATTTTTTTGTATTTTTAGTAGAGACGGGGTTTCACCATGTTAACCAGGATGGTCTCGATCTCTCGACCTCGTGATCCACCCGTCTCGGCCTCCCAAAGTGCTGGGATTACAGGCTTGAGCCACCGTGCCCGGCCTAGTATTTCTTAAATTCTCTCTTGATTTTTTTGTTTTAAGAGTTGTGTATCTTTTTTTTTTTGAGGCAGAGTTTTGATCTTGTTGCTCAGGCTAGAATACAACATCATGACCTCGGCTCACTGAAACTTCTGCCTCCCAGGTTCAAGCAGTTCTCCTGCCTCAGCTTCCCAAGTAGCTAGAACTACCAGCATGGGCCACCACACTGGCTAATTTTGCATTTTTAGTAGACATGGGGCTTCACCATGTTGGTCAGGCTGGTCTCGAACTCCTGATCTCAAGCCAGCCTCCCAAACTGCTGGGATTACAGGCATGAGCCACCACACCCGGCCAACAGTTATATATCTTAAGAGAATTTCAGTCCTTCTTTACTGATCTTAGAATGCTTCTTCCTTCATAGATTATGTTGCTTTCTATGAATGTAATAGCTCATACTTCCCTAAGATTCCTAATAAGAATTTTTAAAATATGCTTCATTGTCTGAAGGCAGGATTGTTGGGACCATGGATTCTGGCCCCTCCTTAATGCAGGGGCAGAAAGAGGAAGGGATCTGAGGGCTCACTTCTCCAGAGGGGACTTGTCAGTTTGGTCACACTGGCCTTTCATGTCTTGCTGTCCTTTTAATTTAACTGTTGGAGACCCACATTTGCCTGTCTGTAATTACTAATGAGGCTGGAGTGGGGACAGTCACCGGGTGTCTTCCCACTGGGATAAGAGGAGCTCGTCTTTAAACCTGGGGCCTGCACAAGTGAGGGGTGACGTTCCCTGGGAATCAGCAAACTCCTTTGTTCTGTCTATTGAAATCCCTGCCTTCGGGCTCCCTGCTACTGCCTGGGCACCTGGATTATTTCCCTCTTGAGCTCCTTGGGAATCCCAGCCCCTGCCCCACACCCCAGCTCCCTGCCAGACACCCCGTCACCATGAGCTGTACTTGCATCCTGACTGCACAACTCGTGGACATTGTGCTCATGGCTTTCCCTTTCTCTTGGAGAGAGAATGTGTATCCATTGCTCTACTATGGTGGATGGAATCAGAATGTCCAAACTAGTGCTTGAACATTATTTTCTCTATCCAGGGTGTCTGTAAAGTCTGCATGAAAGAGAAAGTAGTAGAAAGCAGGCACATAGGAGGGTCCCTTTGACCTAAGAAGGCCCTGGGCAGCTAGGAACCAGGTTAGGTAGTGACTCTGGTGTACAGGAAGGAGGACAACATGATCCTCACCCCCAGGCCTGTTGTTCTGTGTCTTGAAATCAGGGCCATCTTAATACTTGTTTTATAGCCTAGTAGACTCAGGGCAGGAAAAACCTGCCTTCTCAGGCCACAGCTTTCCTAAATGTCCACCCAGAATTGACAGAATCCACAGTAGCTTGTCTACTGTCTGGAAAGTCAAAGGGAGGGGAAGGTAGTGACAACTTACACCTCAGTGACATCTTGGTAACCTTAGTAAGAGGTGAAAGTGGAAACCATCAAGAGCTGGTGGCTGAGCACTCCATGAACCAGCCACAAGAGGAGACTGGGGGCTCCTAGCATGTCGTTCTGTGCCAGCAGGAGGGAGCAAGCTGCAGACTCTGACTCTGGCACCGAGGGCACATGAGGTCTGCGATGACGGCAGCCTTTAAGTCAGCAGAATGAGACCATGTCTTGGTCTCTGGAAGCCTAGAAAGGCTGTTGAGGTTAATGGTGACAGTTCCTTCCTTGGAAAGGGAGACTAAGGCCCAGGGACCGTGAGCCTGGTTCATGTGTTCCGGGCTGGGCTGCATCCACTTCCCTACTTTGAGGTCTTGGTTGTGTCACACGTGGGCTGTGCTCCTTCATCCTGCCAGTGTGCCGTGGAATCTCATCACATGCAGGGTTTGCTGGCCCACCCAGCGGCCATCCCCAGAGCATGCAGCCAGAGGAGGGTCCAGGCACAAGCAATGGACGGGCAGAGCTACGGGTGGGCAGCTACCTGGTGACACAGCCCCCACTGCAAGCTCCTGAATTCGTCCTCACCCAGAGGTAAGCCCTGAAGAGCCACAGGCCTGGACGATACTTTCTACGGGCCACAGTGTGGGGTAAGGCCCAGTTTGCAGACTCGCCATCCCAGACTGTGCAGACAGAGCCCTTTCCTTTAATTGCTGAAAACTCTAACTGTCCCCCACAGCCTACATCTACGAAGAAAAGGGTATGTTTGTCTCAAAAGAGCACCTCAAAACATCCGAGCAGATGTGGGCATCCCATTTATTGGACATTATCAGGGCTAACCCTCCCCCCAAATCACCCTGGGCCCCAGCAGCCTCTTTCTGGTGTTTTCTTTTCCCTGGACAAACACTGTCAGTTTCTGACAGAATCGACATCCTGATTTTATATTCTGAACTGTAGTTTTGTTTTTTTTTTGTTTTTTTTTGAGACGGAGTTTCACTCTTGTTACCCAGGCTGGAGTGCAATGGCAAGATCTCAGCTCACCGCAACCTCTGCCTCCTGGGTTCAGGCAATTCTCCTGCCTCAGCCTCCCGAGTAGCTGGGATTACAGGCACGTGCCACCATGCCCAGCTAATTTTTTGTATTTTTAGTAGAGACGGGGTTTCACTATGTTGACCAGGATGGTCTCGATTTCTTAACCTCATGATCCACCCACCTCAGCCTCCCAAAGTGCTGGGATTACAGGCTTGAGCCACTGCACCCGGCCCTGAACTGTAGTTTTAAAGGGACTTTTGGGGGGTCTGGAACGGCCCCGTGAGCACTTGCTGTTGGCAGTGTCAGTACTGCAGACTTCAGAAACAGAGAGAAGATGACCAGGGCCTTCGAGGCCAGCACAGCAGGTGGAATCCTGCAGAGACAGGAGGGAGGAAGGAGTGTCAGGGTAACCTGCGGTCCTCTGGTGGGGAGGCAATCACCCCCACCAGTCCTGTTCTAGCAGACACGCCATCATGTCTACACTAGGGCCAGCAGGAGCAGAGCAGGTCCCCAGGGTGTGAGGTCTCCTCCCTCATCAGGAAGCTGAAACCAGGTTGACTCAAGGCTCATGCTAATGAGGGCAGGATTATAGGGGACATAGGAGAAAAGGGGGAGCAGGCCCCAAATCACATGGTCTGCTTGCTGAAACAGCCAGACTGTGAGAAACTGTACACCATGTAGATGGACTCGCTTTTCCATTCATGGTTGGGAGCTGAGACTAGGCAGAGGCTGCCACAGCCACGGTGTCCCCTGTATCTCACCTGACCTCACCACATGGCCATCTCGACCCTTCCTCTTGCTCCTCCAGCTCCCATGCCTCTCTGCTCCAACCTGAAGGCCATTTTCAACCTGAGAACATCAGTTCTTTGGTTAAAAGTGGCTTCATTGAGGTGTTACTGACTGTACGTATGTAGATGGAGCACCTGAATTTTCTCAGTGTGACTCTCGTCCACACGAGGCCACCACTATGATGAAGGCCTTCAGTGTACCCCCCTCCTGCCCTTCTGCGGCTCCCCCTGGCCACCCAGGACCACGGATCTGCTTCTGTCACTAAGGATTAGCTGCATTTTATAGACTTCCATGTAAATACGGTCTACATTTGGGTCTTTGTTTTGCTCTGGTCTGGCTTCCTACGCTCTGCATGAGGACTCTTGACAGTCACCGTGTTGTGGTTACATGAAGAGTTCATTCCTCTCTGGAGCCACATAACATGGCGTAGCTGTGCCACAACTTCTTCACCCTTGCCCTGTGGATGGGGATTTGGGGGCATCACAGATAAGGCTGCTGTGAACATCCTGTGTGTATAGTGTGCACACTTGCCTTCATTTCTTTCTCCTGGTTCATGCCTAGGAGTGCCGTGGCCATGTCACGTGTCACGTTTGTGCCGGCCTTGCTGAGGAACTACCAACCCTTGTCCTGAGTGACTGTGCCATGCGTCCTTGCTCTCCCTCCTGCTCCTCGCAGTCTTGTCTCCACACCCCAGGCCTGTTCCTCCTTTGAGATCTCTGCTTCCTTAACATTTCTGCTCACTGGCTCTGTGGGCCTGCCCTGAGCCTTCTGTGCAGTTACCCCTGTGACCCACCAGCTGACCCTGCTCTCAGTGTAATACATTCATTCCCCTCCTAACACCCTACGTACATGACAGCGCTGCAGAAAAAGAGTCTGTTCTGATGAGTGTCAGGTATTAGAACAGCTCCTGATGAGGAAGAAAGCACAGCTGGGTGGATTTTGTTACCTAGTGTCCCCTTGAGACAGCCTATCCTTACACTGTCTCTTTTCCAGCCCTCCAGAGCTGGCCCCAGCTCCATCCGCCTTCCCCGGCCCTGTGTCTGCCATGGAGCTGAGCCAGGCCCTGCCCTCCAGCCAGGTGAGGTTTCCCTATGAGCACTGAATGATTCCCTCTTTACTCCTGGGTCTGCAGCTCACAGTGCTGAGAACTCAGCAAGTGCCACCCCAGGCAAAGAGGAACAGGGGCAAGGAAGATTTGTGCCTGGACATTACTGGTCCTGGAGCTGGGGTGAGGGGTGCTGTGGGGCAGTGTTCCCTCCTGAGTCCAGACTGAAGGGGGGTCTTTGAAAGGTCAGGAGGTACCCAGGAAGGAGGGCAGGTCTCTAGCCTGGCATAGGCAGCCTCTGTGTTTAACCCTGTGGTGTCTTCCAGGTGCAGTGTGCCGACAGCCAGGCCTCTGGCGATGCCTTCTGGGGAGCCAGGATGCTCCTTGAGTTTTCAGGGAGCAGCCTGGACTGAGCTGTCCTCAGGAGCCAGGCAGCACCCTAGGAGGAGTGGGTGTGGATGGTCTGGTTATTCAACACAAGGAGGTGCAGAGCTTTATCACAAATACAAAATGGAGGCCCCCAGAGTTCCACTCGGGGCTCTGCTGAAAAGCATTGAGAGATTCTCTCCCACTATCATGTTTGAATAGTTTGGTTGGCAATTCCCTGTAATAGAGAAAGCATTTAAGAAATGTTCACGAGATCAGAAGTTAAAGGTGGGTCTGTCCACTCAGGGCAGAACTGGATCAGAGTCAGGCTCCTGTGCACCTGTGTGGCAGAGAAGGCCATTCTAGAAGGGAGTGTTCTGCTGCTGGCTGCCTTGCCATCTGCCCATACACAAGGCCCGACTTTTCCACCAAGTTTACTGAGTGTTCTGAGATTTCTGTGTGTAGGGGCTTCTCCCTTGAGTACTGGGAGGCAAACGTGTCAGGGCAGCCCACACAGGGCACAGCAGGGTGGATTTTCCCTTCAGGTTGTAATTCACTGTGTCTATGACACAGATGTTGTAGTCAATTAAAGTTTAATGTTTTGAACTCCCCTTTAATTCATTTAGCCATGTATTCTGGGCATCTGTCCGTGTCAAAGTACAGAGATGAACATCAGCCTTTCTGCCTGGGCCAGTGTCTCACGGTGTGAGTGTACATTGGTCATGCAGCGTGCCCGACAGACGAACATCTGGATGGTTTCTAGTGTGTATGTTTTAGATGCAGCATTAGGATGGGCATCCCTGTCCTCTGCCCTTTGCCCTTCACCTGGTTATTAGGATAAATTCCTGGAAGCTCAATTTCTGGGTCCGTTGTGGTAGCCGTCTGTGTGGCCTTGATTTTGGAATGTCTGTGACTGACCTTGTGCTCAGCTGACCATGTGCCCATCTCAGGAGAGAGCCACATGTGGTCTGGGCTGAGGTCAATAGCCCTTAACCCAGAGAAGTCAAGACTCTGGCCTGCTCTTGGAGCTCCCAAGCTGCTCCGTGGAGACAGAGGCACAAATACTGACTTTCCTGTGGGGTCATGGGTGGAACAGGAGGAGGAGCCGTGGCTGGGAGACCTGACAGTGGGGGTAGGGGGAGCAGGAAAATCTTGACAGAGGTTGGAGAAGGGCACTGTGATAGGAAGGGAATGGGGTGGCACAGCAAAGAGAGCAGGAGCCTTTGGGTCTGGAAGCCATCGCACTGCTCACCTGTGGCCCCACGCATCCCTGGCAGTCCCCAGGCCTATAGTAGAAGCAGGGGCGTACTGGGACCAGCCTCCCAGGGATCCTGCACTCAAAGAAGTTGTGCTAAAAAAAAAAAAAAAAAGAAGTTGTGCTGCCAGCATGGTGGTATGAAGTGGAGGGCACAGCCGCTTGCCTACCTGTAGCAGGAGAACCACCTCCATGTCCACCACAGGCTGACTCCCCAGACTCAGAGAGCAGAGGCAGCAGCAGTGACTACCATGCCTTTGGCTGCTATGGGAGGAGGTACCACTCCTTGACCCTTCCAGGGAACATGCAGAGCCTAGGCCCATCTCAGCCCCCTCTGTGAGGAGGGGCTGCTGCCCACAGGCCATTCCTTCCCGTCTCCTTGCTGGCTTTATCCCTCGTCTAACAATGGAATGTGGCCTCACAGCCTGTGCTGCCCTCATCCCATTGTAGCACCAGCCTGGGACCAATGGACACAGGTAAGGCACCATGACCAGCTGGTGTGGTATGACCCCATTTTGTGCCTTTCTGTGGCACCATCTAGAGAATGAAGGGACATATGACTGTTCCAGTGGATGGATGGCTGGGAGGAGGGATCAAGAGAGGTGTGAGGGGTGGGGTTTGGCCAGCCCTGGGCTTTCTGGACTCCAGGGACAGCAAGGTGGAGGCTCAGGACAGCTCCAGGAGACTAAGAGCTGAGACCAGGACTTCCCGACAGTGGACCACCCAATAGCAATGGTGGTCCGTGAGGGGCCTTAATTCCCTGACTAACCCTCGGATGGGCTCGGGGAGGCGACTGTGGTCTGAAGAGAGTAATGAATGGAGCAGAATATGGGTGTGTTCCTTTCTTAGGGCTGCTGTAACAAAGTACCACAAACTGAGAGGCTTAGAGCAATGGAGATTTGTTGCCTCTGAGTTGAGAAATCTAGGAAACTGAATCATGCTGTCTCTGAAGAGGGGGAAGAGCTCTCCAGGCCTCTCTCCAGCTCTGCTTGTTTCTTGTAACAGCAAAGTTTCAGTCTTCACAAACTATCCTCCTTGTGTGCATTTTTGTGTCCAAATTTCCCCTTTTTATAAGGACACAGTCATAGTAGACTAAGGACTGTAATTACTTCTCACATTTAACATCTGCAAAGACCCATTTCCATGTAAGGCCATATTCACAGCTACTGGAAGTCAGTACTTGAACATACAAATTTAGGGGACAAAATTCAACCCCAGCAGTGTGTCTGTCTCTGCTGGTGAGCCCCATATCCCTGCTGGTGCCACATAACCATGGCCCCTCCCAGGGTGCCCCATCCTTGTACCTGGTGCTCCAGGCAGTTCACAGCAGGGCCTAACTGCTAGGTTTGGGGCTGGCATTGGGATCTCCTGCCCAGTAAGGGTTAGATCAAGACTTCTGGGGATGGGGTGCTGAAGTTTTGAAGGCAGGCAAATCCAGAGGTTGGTTCCTCTCTGGATGCTGAGCCAGAGCAGGATACCTCTCCTGGGGGCTCCAATGCCTCATGTAGCCTGGGCAGAAAGTACTTGCAGTCCTAGGCCCCTAAAGGCAAAAGCCCCTTCTGACTCAGATAGCATCCCTCCTGCTCTGCTTGCCTGCAGAGCCCCCAAGGTTTTGTGGGGAGTCTCTGTGGAGCTGAATCATCAGGGTTGAGGCAGGCCCTAGAATTGATCTTTAGCATACAGATAGTGGGAGGGGTGTGGATGGAAGTGAGGTGCAGGTGGCCTCAGTTCTAACAAAGTACTACAATACTAGCCTGATTCCACTTCCTGAAGTTGGCATCTGGCAAACCACAGGCTAGTGTATTTATAATAGGGTCTGTGTGGCTCACAAGGCTTTACACAGGACCTGGGCCATCTCATGACAGGGCAAGTGCCCCCATAGCTGGGACACCTCTCCTGTGTGTCCTGGACACTGGTTTCTGACTCACAAACTTTGAGTGGCACCTGGAGACCGGCTTCTGTGCTGGAACCTGAGTGTGAAGCCACTTAGAGGCTGTATGATTGCAGGTGAATCACTCAACCACCTGGGCCTGGCCCCCCCACTCAGCACAAGGAACTAGCCATATCTGGCAGATTGCTGTGAGTCACCTGAGCAAGACACCTGCACATGGTGTTAAGAAAACACTGATTTCTCCTTATTGAAATGGGACAACCATTGGAGACCATGTACGGAGGTATGAATTACAGCAGAGCGAGTTTCTAAAGACCCCGTGTGCCCTGAGGAGGCATTGCTGATCACGGGGTGTCTGTAAAGGCATCAAAGGAAAGGTGACCTGAACCTGGAATGATGAAACAGCCGTGGGTTTAGGAGATGGCAGATGGTGTAGCTGGAGCATGTCTGGAATGTGGTTGGCCAGGCCCGGGCAGCACTGGGCTGTGAAGGAACTTAAATGCCAGACTATGAGGGCTCACCCTGGTGAGGGAATGCTGTGGACTAGATTTTACTTTTTTATTGTGGTAAAATTTATACAATATAAAATTTTTTAAAAATGTACACTTCTGTGACATTTAGTTCATGCACAGTTGTGCAGCCACCACCTCTTGGTTCCAAAATACTTCACCCAAAAGGAAATCCTGTTTCCATTAAGCAACTGTTATTCCCTCCTTCCTCTGACCCCTGACAACCACTAATATGCTGTCTCTTTGGATTTACCTATTCTGGGTATTTCATATAAGTGGTATCATGCAGTATGCGACCAGCACAATGTTTTTCTTTTTATCTTTTTAGAGGTGGGGTCTTGCTCTGTTGCCCAGGCTGGACTTGAACTTCCTGGCTCAAGCGACCCTCCTGCCTCAGCCTCCTGAGTAGCTGGGATTACAGGTGTGTGCCCCTGTGCTGGGTTCTCAGCACAACTTTCTGAGGTTCCTCCATGTTGCAGCAAGTGTCAGCCACAGTAGCTGCACCATTTTACAGTGATGTTCACATTTCTCCACTTCTTTGCCAGCACTTTTTAGTTTCTGGTTTGATTTTAAAATAATAGCCATTCTGATGGGTATGGAAGGTTATCTCATTGTATTTTTGACTTCTATTTCCATAATGGCTAATGATGCTGAGCATCATTTCATAAGCTATTTGCCCATCTTCTTTACAGAAGTCTCTTCAAGTCCTCAGCCCATTTTGAAATTGGGCTTTTTGTTGTTGGGTTGTATGAATTCTTTATATATTCTGGATATGAGATCCTTATTCAGTATATTATTTTACAATGTCTTTTCTCCCATTCAGTTGGTTTCCTTTTCACTTTCTTTTTTTCTTTCTTTTTTGAGACGCTCTATTGCCTGGGCTGGAGTGTAGTGGTGTGATCTCAGCTCATTGCAACCTCTGCCTCCCAGGTTCAAGCAATTCTCCTGCCTGAGCTTTCCAAGTAGCTGGGATTACAGGCACATGTCACCACGCCTGGTGAATTTTTTTTTTTTTTTTGTACTTTTAGTAGAAACAGGGTTTCACCATGTTGGTGAGGCTGGTCTCAAACTCCTGGCCTCAAGTGATCTGCTCACCTTGGCCTCCCAAAGTGTTGGGATTATAGGCGTGAGCCACTGTGACTGGCCCCTTTTCATTTTCTTGATAGTGTCCATTGATGCCAGTGTTTTTTAATTTTGATGAAGTCAAATTTATATATTTTTTGTTTCCCATGCTTCTGGTGTCATATCCAAGAAATCACTGCCAAATCTAATGCCAATAAGAACATGAAAAGATTTTCAACATCACTAGACATTAGGTAAATGAAAATCAAAACCACAATGAGATACCACTTCACACCTGTTAAAGTGGCTACTATAAAAAATATGGACGAAAAAAAATATGGAGGCCAGGTGCAGTGGTTCATGCCTGTAATCCTAGCACTTTGGGAAGCAAAGGCAGGTGGATCACTTCAGGTCAGGAGTTCGAGACCAGCCCAGAAAACATGGTGAAACCCCATCTCTACGAAAAATACAAAAATTAGGTTTGGTGGCACATGCCTGTGATCCCAGCTACTCAGGAGGCTGAGGAAGGAGAATCACTTGAACCTAGGAGGTGGAGGTTGCAGTGAGCCAAAATGGTGCCACTGCACTCCAGCTTGGGCAACAGAGCAAGACTACATATCAAAAGAAAAAGTTAAAATGGGGGACGGACTCAAGATGGCGCAGTGAGAACAACCCAGGATTGAAGTTCTCGGTGAACGCGCGGAGGGTGAGTCAGGGCATTTCCAGACGGATCTTTGTTGCCCACAGAACGGGGAAATTCCCAGGTATAAAAGAGACGCGAGGCACCGGCGAAAAAGTTTTGGCCGGTGCAGCCGGCGGCCGGCGCTACAGTGCAGCAGCACTCCACAGTGCTCCGCACAAAGCGCACGGGTCCAGGTGCCCTGTTGAACAGGCTATCTGAGACTTGAGAGGGCAGATTGGCATATCCATCTGATTGAATGGGACTTGGACAGTGAGCCAGGCCAGGAGATTCCAGGGAAACGGCGTTTGGGCCAGGGCACTGGGACAAACAAAACAGCGATTCCAAATGCTCCAGGTGGAGAGTTTCACTGCAGGCACAGCTGAAACCAGGACAGTGCAGTTCGGTGGGGGAGGGGCGTCCGCCATTACCGAGGCAATCCGCCTCTACTGAGGTACACGCCCATTGCTGATGCAGCCTGCCGTTGCTGAGGCAACCTGCCAAAACAGAGAGACCCGCCGCAGGGTGTAGCCCATGGCAGCAGGGCAGACACCGCAGCAGCAGGGCGGACCCCGCAGCAAAAGGACAAACCTCACACCAGCAGGGCGCAGCCTCGGCAGTCAAATAGTGACTAGACTGCCTGCTACCTGGGCAGGACAGCGCAACAGACACTCATAAAGAAATCCCCAATCCCCCAAGACAGAGCATCTGAGAAAAGGGTTTTTTAATAAGCTCTGTTGCAGCAGAATTAAACGTAGCAGCCTAACAGCCGTGAATGAACAACAGAGCTCACAGCTCAGCACTGGAGCTCCTATAAAGTACAGACTGTCTCCTCAAGCAGCTCCCTGACCCCTCTATATCCAGAAGACTGACATTTGGCAGGCATCATTCTGGGACAAAGATAGCAGAAAAAGAAACTGCTAGCATCCTTCACTGTTCCGCAGCTACTACAGGTGCACCCCAGACTAGCAGGGCCTGGAGTGGACCTCAGCAGTCATACAGTAAAGGGGCTAGAATGGTAGATGGAAAACCAAGTAACAGAAATACTTCATCATCAACAAACTGGGTGTCCACTCAGAGACCCAATTGAAGAGTCAGCAACTACTCAGATCACAGGTGGATAAATCCACAAAGATGGGAAGAAACCAGCACAAAAAGGAGGAAAACACCCCAAACCAGAACACCTCGCCTCCTACAAAGGACCAAAACTCCTCACCAGCAAGGGAACAAAGCTGGATGCAGAATGACTGTGATGAAATGATGGAATTAGACTTCAGAAGGTGGATAATGAGAAACTTTTGTGAGCTAAAAGAACACGTTTTAAATCAATGCAAAGAAACTAAGAACCTTGAAAAAAGATTCGAGGAAATGATAACAAGAATGGATAACTTAGAGAAAAATATCAATGAATTGAAGGAGCTGAAAAACACAATACGAGAACTTCACGA